CTCAAACTAATGTATGATGTGTGAAAATAGCCTTCTTCTATACTTTTTGAAGCACACAAGTTAAATTAGGCCAAATAACTCTTCCAGAAACAATTTGATCCTTTTAAATAAGAAAACCAATAAGTCACTACTAGATCCTAACTTGCCTTTCCATATACCACCAAAGACATTTAATTTAGCTCTTCTCTAGAGGCACATGCCAAGTCAAGAAGACATCCAAGTTGAGATGCAATATTACTAATGTATTAGATAAAAATGAGATGGAGTTAAGCATATTTTACTTTGTTGCCACTTGCCAATGTCTTTTTTCTTCATACTTAAAACATAATCCTTAAAATTGTTCCTTTGTGATGTAAGCTCTCAGAAAGTAAAATTGAATATTTTACTCTAATATGATTATCTAGCTTTTCCAATCTAGCAGACTGAGAGTATAACAAACTACCAGTGCTTCGCCTGACTGATCCATATAAATTATAATGAATAAATGGAGTCTGGAGACTATGAAGAAAACAAAATCTAAGGAAGTATCCTTGCTTGGTATATACTTTGACAAACAAACAATAAGAAACTGCACGAATAACCAATTTTTTTAGTTTTTTTGTGGCAGAATTGCATATGCACATCAACAAACAATGAGAAAATATCAACAAAATAAAATGGGCTATGAGAATGAAGATAGTATCTACCTCAATATCTTTACGAGGGATTCCTCTGGCTGGAGCAATTGGATCATTTGCAGCCTCCACAAATAAAGAAGAGTAAGTTAACTTTGCATTTTGTCTTAGTTACCACTTACAGAATCTTAACAAGCATAGTCCCTTTTTGATAAGTTGATTACACAAAACTACTTCTATATTTTTTAGCCCTCTCTTTTCCCCTTCCTTCCTCTCTTTTGCTTTTCCTCCTTTCTTTTTTTTGAGGAGAGACACAAAGAGATGGAATTTCTTTAAATCACAATGAGACTTTTGATTATGTCAGTGCAATATTCTAGACAAATTGTCTGTCTCCTATAAAGATCCGAGAGTCAAATATGGAGAAATGTGATTCTCTACTCTATATATCTTAGAAAGCAATAGTAGTTAGTGCAATGCTTTTCCTAGAATCTGGTCCCAATTACATTTCATAAAAATCCTTCGCATTTTATCAAGAAAAGTAACTCTTGTATTAAAATGAAAAGTGTGAAACGTCTATTTGATAGTAAGTTAACCAAATTGCATAAAGGTACATCTATGATGTGGGAAAAATCCTACAACAGATAACTACAAGCGTGTACTGTCTAATGGAAACACAAAGTTAAACATATATTCTCTCTCAAGTTTCAGCTTTATTACATGGAATTTTAACTTATATGCTATGATGTTCAGATTTTGTTCAAGAAGAGTAACACTTTAACTCTCCTGACCATGAACTGTAGACCTATAAATGGCGTCTGAAGTACGATAAATAACCACAAACAAAAAAGAACAATGGAGAGTAAATGGCTGAAACAAACTTACTTGGATACAAAGCAGAGGTGTGCAGACATTTGTAATGGAATCTGAGCTGCTCGAGTTAGAATAGTAATCATCCACAGACTTGAATCCAAATGAAACTGCAAAGTTGAAGGCAATTACTGATATGTTCAGATGCAATCATTTACAACTTTTTTATTACTACATACAAGAATAAATACCTCGTGTCAGTCCATCATCAAATTCTCTAACAGTTTTGGCATTGGCAGCTAATGATATATTAAATTCGCCTTCCATATCTTCAAACAGTAGAGCATGCCTATAAACAAGAGATCTAGTTTAAAAGAGGTAAAATGTATCCCGAGCAAAAAAGGAAAACTGAATTATGAAATTACTTTTTGAAAATTTTGCGGAGAGAATTTGCTAATGCTTTGTCATAAACATTGTTAAAGCCCTTATGGAAATCTTCGTCTGCAATGACCAAATTGAATGGATTGCACAAGGAAACAGCACCTGAGAGAAGGCAAGAATGAGATTCCTGCAATGAAACAATAAAATATGAGAGATGGGCAGTACATGGACTCCTGCAAGTAGATAAATTGAAATAATGAACTCAGAGCAATGGATTGAATCATTGAAAGGTAAACACAAACCAAAATAACAACTCCAGTGAACGCCTACAGACTTGTGACCAATCAGTCGAGCACCCCCACCTTTATTGTGTCTAATTAAATTGACAGTAGATGCATCATTAAACAAATAAATTATTAGAAAGCAGTTTCTAAGAATTCAAGTACTCCATCCATTCCGACTTTATTACATCATTTGCCTATAGATTGTCTTTGAAAATACAAATAGTGCAACTGATAGGCAATATTGTTGAAGACAAATACAGCAACTGGTAGTCAAAAAAATTTCCAAGAGTTATTTTGATCCAGAACAAAGAAAGCACAATGTTGACCCAGGACAAATGGATGGAGACAGAAGTGCTCAATTACCTACGCACGTATATAACCACAGCTACCAGATTATGGCATAACTTCACATGTCCATTCACCATTTACTGCTGACTCTCTCAGTAGATATTGACTGTAGAGTGACTCCAAAGATAACTTTCAATATAGTTAATAAAAAAAAATTCCAGTTCAATGAGTGTTTATCGAGATGTCTCAAGGATCTACTTGGGATAGAAGAAGGTAATACATGCTACTGTAACATCCCCTTCTAGTTAGTTTCTTAAGCAGCAGCATTGAATTCCTTTTTATGTAGACTTAAATCAGGCTACAATGGAATGAGGTTTTCAGAAGGTCGGTCTCACATATCACTTGAACCAATTGAACTACTCAAAGCACATTAAGAATAAACAAGAGTTTGGGGTGTTCAGAGGATGAAGAATCATAAGCCATATCGATGGAAACATGGGCTAGCAGTTAATAAAGTGGAAAACCTAGGAGACCAAGGTTCAAATCCCAACAGAAAAAAAGTATTAGGTGATCTCAGTGACTCAGTTTTACCATCTTCCTAAGCCTTGGTGGACCAAGTTACTTGAGCTTGTGCTAATGAGAGGTAGAAAATGTTGGCAGAAGATATGAGCGACTACTCGAGTAAGACGTTAACAGAGAGAAACTTGATCTTTTTCTATTACTTCAGAAGACAACGCTGCAAGTCTTTAAATAGAACTTGGAAAGAAACAAATTTAGAGAAAAAATAGGGCACTAGTTTAGCACTAACCCATGACCTGCTAACTAACTATTATCAACTAATTAGGATTCCTAGAGCTAGTTAACTGAAAACATAAAAGACTCCTAAAAGTACTGCCACTAACAACATTAAACTTTTGAATCAGTCAACTAACAGAAAATATCCGGTGGAATAGTTAAGATGCGTACACGCTGGCCAATACACACGATCTTTATAAGAAAAATGGAACACCATTACTAGATGGTCTAATTATCAGAAAGCTCATGAAACCCAATTCCATTGACAAACATTCAGCTATACTAAGCACAAGAAATGATTGAGAAAAAGAAAACTGGGACACAACTGAACATTTTTCCTCAACATACTCTATGATGTAACTATGTTAGGCGCTAGCATCCATATATAGAGTTTTCACTTTTTCTCAATAAACTGTATGATGTTAGCCAGATCACTAATGCTCAGCAGAATTTCAGTACTAAATTTAAATATGCTAACAAGTTCACCATAGCATCATATTCATACCAGATATTCTTTAGAACAGCTCGTACTGAAGATGCAAGGTAGATCAGTACAAGGACAAATGGAAGAGGAACATTGATAAGCACAAAGTGAATTGATTGAGTTACCTGTCCCAAGTAGCGAACAAGAATATTTGCTCCAAGAGACCAGCCTATTGCATATAAATTTGCCGCTGGATAGCGGTTGCTGACATGTGCCACCACTTCATACATATCCCCAAGAAATGAAGCTGAATAGAACTGCATAAATTAGTTCAAAGGAAAGCATGTAAATACGAAAGAGGCAGCAACACAGATAAAGAAGGAGACAATAGAAAGGTTAAATTTAGTTAGTCATTCCAAGAAAGAACAGAAATGTAGTTCTTTTATTCAGCATTTACTTTGTAACTAGTTTGTTTTGGTTGGAGGCCTAGTTCCTGATCTTGGAAATAGGTGCTCTTTAGTTTGTACTTGTTCCTTGATGGTATGGTAATATTTTACATTTGTTACCAAAAAAAAATTAAAATGAACAGATAACTTTTACACGGCAAAGATGATTGTGTTCGACATTACTTTGAAGAGGAAGAGTAATATCTTAAAATAATGTTTCACCTTAATTCGATCAATTCATGACCAGTTGTTTGTTTCCTCTTAACAAATTGACAAGCTAAAAAATCTAGAATACTTTGCCAGTACTATTTGAGAAATAAAGCTGACCAAGTTTGGAAATTATGGAGTTAATTATTTTGTTTTATAAGTGAAAATGGGGCTATAATATGGAGCTATAATGATACTAATAATAATGGAGGTAATTATCAGAAAATTTAGAAGTTCAATGAGGAGCTATAACGATAATCAAACTTAAGAAAGTCTACAGCACACATCAAGAACTGGGTAACAAAGAACTCCTTTCTATGCGAAAAATGGAAATACACATTGATTTCCTACTTTGCCTAGGACAGCTTGAACATAAAGCTGTCTCTGATACTCTGGTATGAGCTAGATTGCGAGTTTGAAGGTGTATAGATGAAGAAAAGTATCCAGGACCAAAAGATATGGAAATTGAGAATTTAGAGATTATTATTGGAAATTCTTCCGTAGTTGAACTATAGGGGACTTGGAAAACCTTTCTTACTTGTTTCCGTTGACTATGGTATAAATCCTTTTTGAAATCACTTGGTGAAAGAGACCGGATCATGTCAAGCAAGGGAGGGGAACCAACATTTTGTGAAGATAAATTTTTGAGCCCTTCCGAAACAAAAGTCCCAAGTGAATATTATTTGCATAAGCAATAGATATAATCAACTTTAAAGAGTTTTAGTCTAATAATTGATGCAATGGAAGCAGAAACTTATACTTGGTTCAAAAAGATCATTCTTTTAGCAATCATATGAAAATCAGATTTAAAACAAAAGGGCATCAATGCACTGATGCCAGAAAAAAAAGTACAGAAAATATACTGAGCCGAAAAAAAAAAGAAGCAAAATGGGCAATCATGTAGATAATTGTTCTACTCGTTAGCTTTCTCCAGATACTTCTTCTTTTCTTCGTCAGTCATGAAAGCAGTGAGGGGGAAAGACTTTCCAATTCCTATAGGAGTCTTGAAGTGAATTTTGTTCTGAGCAGGATCCTCAATGCTCATCTCAACTATTGGCACCCACAGAAATAGCTGCTTACTCTTAACTCCAGTCATTTTCTTCATTCTTCCTTTCTCCACGTAGGCAGTGACCTCTGTGGCATAGCTAACTAGAGTTTTTGTTGCGACAAAGTAATGCTCGTATGGAGCCTTTTGTTTCATCCACACAAATCCAGTTTCGCGAACACAGCCACATTCTTCAAGGTCCTTAAGAGCAAGGACACCCATGGGGAATCCCAACTCTTTCAGGAGCTCAAGAGAATGACTATAGCAATCTTCAACTCCATATACAATTTCTGCTCCTGCACGCTCATCTTGGCATGATGTTTTATCGCTGGCCATTTTGCAGTGGTATAAGATCGAAAAAGCTCTGTATTGCAAGGTGCGGCAATTCAGGTTATGGTGTGATGCTTAAATATACACAAAGCAGGAAGGAGAAAGAGAGGGCAGAGCAAGGTTGTTGACTGGCAGTTGTGCAGAAGGGATCTAGTTGATAGTGTTGTTCACCTAACTAGTTGAACAAAAACTTCCCAAAAAATGGAGTCAAATGGACAGCACAAGATCAATCAACCGTCCACAAAAAAGGCTGCCAATTCCCATCAACTAACCATACCAACAATTATCTCTTCTTAACCAAAAAGTCTGATTAACAGATACAAACATTGGCCAAACTCCACCAAAAATCACATCAAAACGAATAGCAATATCAGTGAGGAAGAAATTGAAGATCAAATCTTTATTAATGTATCAATCAACCAAAGTAATGAAAGACCAAGACGAGAGTACCTGGGGAGTTGTCACAGGACTATCTCCACATCCTCTACTATTGAATACCACAACTCTCCAACCCCTATTTCTAGCTCTCAGCAGCATATGCCTCACGTACGAGTCATCGCTTCCCCCAGTCAGACCTGGCTGCAATTACTCTCATCAGATCAGTTCCATTCTATACACACACCCTTACTTTTACAATCCAGAATCCAAAGCCAATGTGTATGTCATACTGAAAATTGCCAAAAATTATAAGTCTCTATCAATAATGAAGCAATAGAAAGAAGACCCACAAGCAAAATGAGCAACGGGGAGTCGGGAGGTAAGCTACGATCGTCGCCGGATACCCAATCGAGAGCGACGGAGCCATCATCATTAGTCCGCAAACACTCTCTCCGGAGACGAACGTCAGGAACGGACCTAAAGAAAGCTGCAAAAATAGTTTCTATATGGCGATTCCCAGCGGCGATGGGATAAGGACTGTATGGATTATGAAGGGATTTAAAAGCAGTGAGAAACTTGTCTCGAGCTCCGCCTGTGACTTCTAGTGATGGATGAGGAACTTTGCCGTCCGACATTGCGGTGGCGCAGATAGTTTTAGTACGGCGGAAGGTGACGTGTCGGGGAGGGGAAGAATCAGAGAGGTTTTTGAGATGGCGGAAGGAGGAGGATATAGGAGTGGTTGAGCCAATGGTGGCTCTAGCCATTGTTTGGTGGGAGCTGTCCCCACCGCTCACTCTGCTTTTTAAAATTGGTTTGTAGCTTGTTGAAGAAGATGGGTGGTGCTGACTGGTGCAACTATAACAAATACTGTACATAAATATGGAGTATAAGAATTTTAAAAAAAAACGAATACAGAGAAAACAATATGTATAATAAGAAATAAGTAGATAATATGTGAATAATAATATTAATATTTACTATTTTTCTTACTTTAATATTTAACTAATTCTCGATATCTATATATTTTAAGTAGAATTGTATCCTTCATAATACTTTATCTAATTATTTTTTTCTAATATTTCCTCGTCTATTTCTCCTCAAACTCATGATCAACCTCTTGCGCCTCTTCTTTTTACATGGTTGAAACATTTCAATCTCGTTTCTCTCGTTTAGTTTATCACAAAGACCACTTTCACGTTGTCCCTAATATCTAATCCTAATTTTATTTTTTTATTAGGCTCATACATTCATTTCAACACGCTCATTAATCACTTTAATTTTTTAATGTCCAAGTTCTTGATTTGATGCATCTATCTCAACAAAATGTTGTTAGAAATGCAGAATTAGAAGAATGGTCAGAGTGCTTTTTAAGAGTAAATATTTGATTTGTCTATGATACTACTAATACTTATTTATATTAACCAAAAAAGAAAATTGAAAGCAAAATAAGGATACAATTGACATTTACAAGAAATTATGGGTGAAAACGAATTTTGTTATAGTATACATAAAAGTTCATAGGGAAAAGGGTCTGATATATCCCTCAACTTTGTCATTTGGAGCTGATATGCCCCTCGTTATGAAAATGACTCATATATATGTTCAATATCCATAATTAGGATATGGTGATGAACAATTCCTTGACTCTGGAATGTTCTATGAACTGAGAGTAGAGAGTTGAGAAAAAATGTAATTTCAATGTATCTGTTAATTAACTCCAACTGAGTGTTTGTTTACATATATACAAGAACAAGAAAGTATCTTCTAACTACCCTAACTAACTTTAGCTAACTAGTCCTCTAGATTATTCTAATTACATATTGACCCCAATTACCCATGTGATGCCTTCTTTAATACTCCCCCTCAAGTTTGAAGGCATGAACAGATTCGTTACACCAAACTTGGACAACAAATGTTCATGTTGAGACTTCCATAGACCTTTAGTTAGCATGCCAGCTTCTTGTTCATTGGTGTGTAGATACTTTGTTTCAATTAGTCCTTGCTGAATCTTCTCGCATATGAAATGACAATCCAACTCGATATGCTTTGTTCTTTCATGTAGTACCGGATTGGTAGCAATTTGTATTGCTGATTTACTGTCACTGTAGATGGTAACTGGAGTTTGAACTTTAGCTCCCAGTTTCTTGAATAACTTGACTATCTATGTAACTTCAGCTACAACACTTGCCATACTTCTATACTCAGCTTCAGCTGAGCTTCTAGATATTGTTGCCTGTTTCTTTGACTTCCAAGAGATCAATGACTCTCCTAACTTTACCATAAAACCTGAAACTGATCTACTTGTGTGTAAACAGGCTCCTAAATCTGCATCACAGTAAACTCTCAACTGTTTGGGGCTTCTGCTGGACAATAGTACTTCTTGCCCTGCTTGTCCTTTTATGTATCTTACAACTTTAAATGCAGCATTTAGATGAGATTGTTTTGGCTGGTGTAGAAATTGGCGCAGTGTTTGAGTGGCAAACGAAATGTCTGGTCTTGTAACATTAAGATATAATAGCTTGCCAACTAGTCTCTTATATACAGTTGCATCTTTCAGTAGCTTATCTTCATGGCCTTTCCCATTTAGATAATCATATTCCTTACTTTTTAGTTGTACATAGGGATCAAGTGGTGTAGAGGTTGGTTTAGCAGCACCAAGACTAACCTCAAAAATGATTTCCAAGGTGTATTTTCTTTGATGCATAACAATACCTCTTTGTGACCTGGAAAATTCAATCCCAAGAAAGTATCTTAAGTCTCCTAAATTTTTCATCTTGAAAGTATTATGTAATATTTCCTTTGTTGCTTGTATCAGATTAAGATCATTTCCAGTGATCATCATATCATCTACATAGACTAGAATTATCACCAAGGATTCACCAGTCTTTTTTATAAACAGTGAGTAATCTAAATGGCTTTGAATAAAACCAAGTTTGAGGAGTGTCTCTGTGAGTTTTATATTCCATTGTCTAGGAGCTTGTTTTAGACCATATAAAGATTTAATAAGCCTGCATACTGGTTTCTCCCTCTGCACATTAAAGCCTTTAGGAGTCTGAAAACCTTGAGGAAGACACATATAAACTTCTTCAAGTAGGTCACCTTGAAGAAATACATTTGAAACATCCATCTGATGAACATGCCACTGCTCAGTGGCAACAAGTGCCAAAACACTTCTGACTGTAACCATTTTACCACAGGGGAGAAGGTCTCTTGATAATCAATACCCTCTCTTTGATTGAACCCTTTTGCAATCAATCTAGCTTTAAATCTGTCTACTTCACCTGAAGCTAGATATTTGATCTTGAATACCCACTTGCAGCCAATAACCTTTTTGCCTGGAGGCAAAGGAACAATGTTCCAAGTGTTGTTGGCATCCAAGGCTGAGATCTCAGAGGTCATTACATCAACCCATCTTGGCTCAGAACATGCTTCCTCAAAGGTAGAAGGTTCAACACCATTGCCAAAATTTGAGAGATAAGCCTAGTAAGGAGTATGGAGGTGATCACAAGCAACATAATTGTCAATGGAATAAACTGGCTTGGTGACAGTCTTGAGCTTTGCAGTTGCTACATAGTCTTTCATCTATAAGGGGGCTCTACTGCTCCTTGTGGATCTCCTTTGTTCAGAGGCAGGAACACCTGATGGAGATGGAGAAAGTGCAGGCACAACAGGTTCAACCATTGTAGGAGGTGGAGTGCTAGGATCAGGATCAATGTCTGATGAAAAAGTGGTAGGAAATAATTTCCAAGTTGTGGAGGCTGGAACTGCAAAGGGAAATATAGACTCTCTGAACATAACATCTCTGCTAGGAAAGAAGTATTTGTCCCTTAGATCATATAATATATACCTTTTTGTATTCTCATTGTATCCCATATGGATAGCAATGACACTTCTAGGCTGAAATTTGTCCTGAATATACATAGTATTGGCAAAACATAAGCAACCTAGAACCCTCAGATGTTGAAGTGAAGGCTGTTTCTTATGAAAAACTTCATAAGGATATTTTTCATGTAACACAGGTGTAAGAAGCCTATTAATGATATATGCAGCACTAGTATACAATGTCCCCAAAATCTGATGGGAATGTGACCTTGGAATTTGATTGCCCTAGCTACTTCCAATATATGTTTATGTTTCCTTTCAGCAATCTCATTCTGCTAAAGAGTATGAATACAAGTTCTTTGATGAACAATCCCTAGACTGATGAACAACTTGTGGCATTCAGTATTAACAAATTCAGAACCATTATCAGTTCTGATGGTCTGAACCCTGAAGTTAAACCGAGTTTGTACCAAAATGAAGAAGTTTTTCAACACAACACAGACATCACTTTTCAATTTGATTAGGAATAGCCATAACATTCTTGTACAATCATCAACAATAATGACAAAGAATCTATTACCATTATGAGTAGGAGTATGAAAGGGACCCCAAATATCACTGTGTAACAACTGAAAAGAATGGTAGACATGGAAGTACTATGAACAGAGGGCAGTCTATGTTGTTTAGCTAGTGGACAAATTGTGCAAGTATGTACTTCTTTAGAACATTGAGTGACAGGGAAATCAAAAACATGTGCTAGGATACTAGGTGATGTGTGACTTAGTCTTTGATGACATAGTAGGACTTGAGAAGAATCTGACTGAGTTTGAGTTTCCTTGTTAGCCTCTGCTGTGAAACACTGAGTGTGTTTGCCTCTACTAACCTTGTGAGTAGGCAAATGATAGAGACCTGCATTCTCTCTACCAATCCCCTTCACCTATCCACTGTAGAGGTCCTGAAATATGACAAAGTCAGGAAAGAAAGAAACAACACAATTTAAGTCCTTCGTAAGCTTGGATACTGACAGAAGATTGAGCTTAAAATCAGGAATTATGAGGACATTTTTTATTGTATCATGTGGAGTCATATACTCTCCTAGTAGTATATCCATTTGGTGAATATACTCTCCTAGGTTTATCTGGTGGAAGTTGTTGTTTATAATCAAGCATAGCAGAAGAAGATGTCATATGGTTAGTAGCACCTGAGTCTATAATCCATCCCTGCTACTTAGTACTGACTATGAGTGCAATATCCTTACCTGATGAGGATGAGCACTCCTGAGCTAGATTCGCACCTCCAACATTGTTAGATTGAGATGCAGCTGATCCCTCAGTTCCTCCCTGAATATTAGCTTGCCAAACATTTGTAGTATTTGATTGTCATTGTGATCCAACCTTCTACTGGAACCTCTACCATATGAAATGTTGTCTGAATTCATTTCTTTGTTGTGATTAGGTATTTCTCTGATGTGATTAGGATCTCTTGTGTACATGTGCTCATGTTCATCACTGACAGCATTGTGAGTAGCCTGAAATTGTCTTCTCTCATTGTTATTCTTTGCTCGTTCATATGCAGGTCCTTTCTTCCTACTTTTAGGACCAGGAGGATATCCATGAAGTTGGAAACAAATAGCCTGAGTGTGTCCTGTTCTATTACAGTAATCGTAATTGCAGATACATTGGGATCATAGTTAGGGATGTTAGGGGATTTATGTTTAAGAGCTTGTGTTGGTGAGTTTCGAGTAGTGAACATCGCATGTAATTCAGCCTGTCCACCACTAGTAGTCTGTGAAATCCTACGCTGACTTTCTCTCTCAATCAACATGGAGTAAGCCTTATTTAGGGAGGGAAGGGGTATCATCATAAAAATTTGACCTCGTGTTTGATCATATGATTCATTAAGACCCATAAGAAACTGCAACAGTTTTTTATTATGCATGAATGCGACAAAATCTCTTAAATTAGGGCAATCACAACCAGGTACATGAGCTAAACTATAGAATTCCACCCACAGTTCTCGCAATCGAGAAAAGTATACAGAAACAATGCTCGTACCTTAACTGATGGTTGCAATTTCTTTGTGTAATTGGTAGATTCGACTTCCATCGACCTTATCATACCTTTCACACAGATCCTTCCATACAACTGATGCATTAGTTGAGTAAACGATCCCTCAAAGTAGTTCCTTTGACACACAATTCATGATCCATGATAAAACAATGGCATTACATCGTTCCCATAGAGTTTTCAGATTTTCCCCATACGCTTCTTTTTTGCAAGATCCATCGATGAATCTGAGCTTGTTTCTTCCCAGAATTGCTATTCGCATGGCTCTGCTCCACACAGATAAATTCTCAGATCCAGATAGCTGAATCGAAATCAACATAACACCTGAATTATCGATATTATTCAAGAACATAAGATGATTATGACTCAGTTTTTCTGGTAACTCATTATCTACAGTTGCCATGACTGCACCAATTCCTTAGAAGATAGCACAAATTGTGCGTAAATGATCGCAACTACAATCACTGCTGTGATTGACAGTGCTCTGATACCATGTTCAATATCCAGAATTAGGATATGGTGATGAACAATTCCTTGACTCTGGAATGTTCTATAAACTGAGAGTAGAGAGTTGAGAGAAAATGTAATTTCAATGTTGTAACACCCCGACTTTTCAAAACGTCTAAATTAACTTGTATATTCGTGGAAAGACAAGAAGGGTGAGTAATAAATTAAGAATGATATGGTATGTCCTATTTTAAGTGTTCAAGTGTTGCATCTCAAGTTAGGTAAGTGGCAAAATAAAAGTTGGCGGAAGTTATCGTAATTTCCTTCTTAAAGATTTCTCTGAAATTTGGGTCAAATGTCTTGGAGGTTTTCTCCCAATCTATAAAGAGTTATGGGGCCCACAAACTATTGAATCGAAGGTCTACGAGTCTAGTTTCCAACGCATTAAACCGTTCATTCATACGACTTCAGAATAGAGAGATATTCGCATTTTCGTGGGACTGCGCAAGCAGGCGCGTGAGGTGGGGCCCTAGGTCGGTGGAAAGTGTATATATCTTCTTCTTCGAGTTTTTTCTTCATTTTAAGCTAAATATACAGAGAAAACATCGAAACCCATTTTTAGGATCAAGTGAAATATAGATTTTCTCGACGTAAGTCCTTGACGAAAGTTGTTCTATGCGTTGGGCTCATCATCGTGGTATAATTTGTTTTATCGATTGCATAGCATATCACATTTTAGAGTTGGGACAGCAGGGGTTTGAATATATTTGAAGGTTTTGAGGTGAATTACGAACCTAAGATCGAGGTAAGACCCTTCTTTCATCGACTCTAGCTTTTATAAGCAGCAAATAGCAATTTGCGACGGAAATACATATCTTTTATTGTATTGTCATGGTATCTTTTATTTTATGTGTTGATTATGGTCCTACCTTGTTGTAGTATCGAGGGAGTTATGAGTTAAAGTCTTTAGGCCACGTGAATTTAGCGAAAAAGGTATGTTAAGGCTATTCTCTTCCTATGGCATGTTTCCTTAAAGCTCAGGAGCAATGTAATTGAGTTGTTATTGTTGATTGTTGGCTGCTCGAGTGCATATAATCCTCTCTTATCGAGATTCTTATTCAGTAGTAACATTCGTATGTTGGACACGACTTAGAGGCTATTTGTATAGGTTGTCTATAACTAAATTTCTCACTTTTAGCTGCTGGATTGTTATTGTTGCCTTTGGGCTATTGTTGTTAGCTGCAGGAATGTGATCTATGCCTAGCAGGGTTATGTTCTGCCTACAGGGCTATATGGATGCCTAAAAGGGCTATGAGTTGCCTACGGGGCTATATTGATGCCTAGAAGGGCTATAAGTTGCCTACGGGGCTATATTGATGCCTAGAAGGGCTATAAGTTGCCTACGGGCTATATTGATGCCTAGAAGGGCTATGAGTTGCCTACAAGGATATATATTGACGCCTAAGAAGGTTATGTGCTTCCTACAGGGCCATGTTGTTGCCTAAGAGGGCTATGTTGTTGCCTAAGAGGGCTATGTGACTGCCTGCGGGGCTAGGGGACTACCGATAGGGGTATACAGGTTGATTGGCACATTCCGGGCTTATGGGGGCCTGAGTAGGTGGTCTTGTGTGCTGTTTGTACCTACCGAGCTTATGGGGGCTTGGTTAGGTTGTTGTTTTTATTATTTTTGATAAATTTAGATTTAGAAGCAGGTCAGTACAATTATCTTATCCTTAATTTATTTACCAGATTATTCCAGTATATCAGGATACCTCATCATAGTCTATTGCCTTTCATACTCTGTACATTATTTTGTACTGACGCCCCATTGCCTTGGGGGCGCTGCATTCATGCATGCAGGTCCTAACAGATGACCGAGTAGACCTCCATATCAGCAGACTTGACTTTTATCCGATTGGTCAGCCCCTTTCCTCCGGAGCTGCTAGAGTTGGGAGGTTTGTTACCTTTTGTTGTATATATTCTCATGGGTAGGCTGGGGCCCTGTCCCACCAATTTTTACTACTCTTAGAGGCTTGCAGACTAGTGTGTGGGGTTTATAGCTACGTTATGGCCATGCTGGCCTATGTTGTTGGTTTGCTGAAGCTTGTGAGCTGTTTGATGTATTGTACTGATATTTACCTGTTTTTAGTTTTGGTATAGATATCATGGTGGCCTCGACGGCCCAATCAGGACTTCTGTGCTAGTTGGATATTTCTTTATATGAACTCTTGGGAGTAACTGGTTCTTTTGTAGATCTGTTGACAGGGGCTTTGCCGGCCGAGGGCTTAGTTTTAAGTCGAGATATACTTGTTTGTTTTCTTAATTGCATGTGACTGCCATGCGCTAATAGCAAATGGTTCAGCAGGGTCGGCTCGGGCCTGAGTTTTGGCTTTAGGAGTCAGTTGCGCCCTTTGAGTTTGGGGCGTGACAAATGTATCTGTTAATTAACTCCAACTGAGTGTTTGTTTATATATATACAAGAACAAGAAAGTATCTTCTAACTACCCTAACTAATTTTAGCTAACTAGTCCTCTAGATTATTCTAATTACATATTGACCCACCCCAACTACTCATGTGATGCCTTCTTTAATAATATATCCTTACCGTTATACAAATGGCTCACATATACCCCTACCGTTATAAAATGAGCTCACATATACCTTTCATTTAACGTAAGTGAAAAAAATAGTTTTAAATTTATATTTTTGAATTTTGATTTTTTTTAAAAATTATTGAGGGGTATATATGATTTTTCTAGCAAATTTCAATGTATATTTTAATTTTTTTCGGACATACATTATTTTTTGACTTCTTGATTATCATTATTTGAGTTTCTTATTCTTATTTTATTTTTTCTTTCATTCCTTAGTGTAAAGAAAAAAATTTAAAACTATTTTTTGTGGCTATATTATAATTTAAAACTATATTTTTTTTGGATATATTGTAATTTGGTTTTTGTATTTGAAGAAAAAAATTGAGTCATCTATAATAAATTTTACAAGAATATTAGCAAAACTTAAATAAATTTGACCATCAAAATAATAAATCTAAATTAGTCATTGAAACAAAAAAAAAGTTTAAAATAGTATATGTTTGAGGAGGATTAAATATATCCATATGGGATTATATTTTAAAAAAAATTAAACTAAAATTAATTTTTTCACTTCCGTTAGAGGAAAAGGATATATGTGAGTCATTTGTATAACAATAGGGTATATATATGTCACTTTTATAACGAGGGTGTATCAGCTCTAAATGACACCCATTGAAGTTCAGTAAATTTGTTGTAAACCTCAAAAGTCTCTAACTTTGCTGCTTTAGCCCAACCATTTTCTGTTTTATGATTTACTAGTCCTTGTAATTTGCATCAAAACCAATTTTGTCACATGAACTTCGTCATTAGCTCGGAGATTCACATTCAAACAGATTTTCGCCATTGTTAACTCCTCCGCTGTTTATCACCATGTCCTCAACCGTCGACCAAACGGAATTGCAAAAAGAAGTAGAAGCTCCGGCCACCGTGACTGACCCAGGAGACACCGCGATCCTGTCGGGGGAAGCACCAGCAGACGGTGCTGGAGATCCGAAACACGAGGAATCCAAGGAATTTGCTACCCAATCCGGAGATGTACAGTCAAACGATGCAGAGGCTTCAAAATCTGACGAGAAATTGACGAAATCCAACGAGGCGAGTGATGCAGATCCCAAGGCAAATGAGAGAGCTATTTCTAGCCAGTCTGGAGATGTACAATTGAACAATGCAGAGGCCTCGGAATTGATCCGATCGAACAACTCAGATGATTCAGATCCCAAAGCGGATGAGCCGAAGGGTGATACTGTTGAATCTAATGAAACGGGAAGTAACTCGAAGCAGCTAAAAAAGGATGAAGGTAGCCGAACATTTACAATGAGAGAGTTGTTGGATGAATTGAAGAATGGAGATGCCAATGAAGATTCTGAAGCTGAAAGACGAGAAAGCGACACACCTCACAGGTTTGTGTTCGCTGGCTTCTCTGTAAAATGCAATGCACCTTTCAATTGCAGTACTGAAAATATCATTAATGTGTACTTATCAACTAAAAAATATCATCAACATGCTAGATTGAATCAGATGCTTCTGTAATAAAAGTGCATTCTCGAATGTATAGCTTACTCATCCAAGTTAACTATAAGCTGACTGCTGATATGATCATGAATGAAGATAAATAAAAGATAAAGAAAGTTTACTACAAAACTAGTTAATTGAAGAAGGTGATGTCTTGTCCGATGGTAGAATTCATCCTTGATTGTAAAATATACTCATCCAAGTTAATTGTCATTGATGCTAACGCAACAAAGTTCAGGTGGTTTTGATAAAAATGATCATGAACGAAAATATATGAAGCACAAAAAAAATTTGAGAGAAGAAGTAAAGAAGATTATAGTATAACAGACACAAAGGCAAGAAAACACACTCACTTGGAGAAAATAACCGTGAATGAAAGTAAACAAAACACTAACAAAATTTGACAAGAAAATGGACATGATTGAAGAAAATGATGGCTGGTTTTATGAGTTATGACCATGCCAGCATCTGAATATATCACACCTTCTTGTTTTGACCACTGATATTGTTGTACATATAATGAAACACAAAAATAATGTCTAAAGCACAAAATGAATTCAAAGTGTCTCGAGTGCCTAGATGGCATAGTCATGGGTTAAAAGCTGAAAGTTTGCCTTGTGCAATTCATGTTTCAAATTAGTTGAGGCTTCTGTTTTGATCCTTGAGAATAGAGTCAGACACCATTTTCTGATAATAAGAGCTATACTTAACACCTCATGATGATGTACCATCAATCTAATCCCAAATTTGAATCTGGATTTGAAAGAGATAGAAGGATTATTAGTTCCATACTTCTATTTGATGTTAAATAATAGCTCCCTATAACTAAGTTCTCCAGAGATGTGACATTTGAAGGCATTTTGATTGCTTTAACTATGCAATCAATTTATTCAACCTATCATCTTTTGAGTAATCTCTGCTGTTTATTTTGAATCACTTCTACAACCACAAGTACTTCAGCTTGACCTCAATACCTCATGACATCTACTGTTTTTCCGTTCTTTTTATTTTTGAACATTAAGAAGCCTATAACTTACATTTTCCTGTTACTTGTGAATTTGGTTCTCCAGTCAACAGAGCAGTCAGCAGCATGCAGAAAGTAATGCTGCCTTGGAGTTGATTAACAGTGTCACAGGTGCTGATGAGGAGGGCCGATCTCGCCAACGGATTCTAACATATGCTGCCCGGAGGTTCATCTAATCTTTAGCACCATTTTAGTTATGGTGTTGCATATCTTAATTGGGCTTAGGCTGCATTCCAAATTCTAATTTCATGACAAGTTTTATGGTTTGTAAATCAAGAGGTCTCCAGACAATTCACTTTCTTCAAGGAGTCCGAGTCCCCTTTTTTTTATTTATTTGATAGGTAATGATTTTATTGAGATTTCTCGAATACTGAGTGGGTTCTGGGAGTGTACATTTCAAAAGGCAAAATTCAGTTCCTCTTCAATCCTGTAATGAAAGTAGACGTCTAACGTGGTATCAATTTCGTTTCCACAAAAGCAATTGTATCTATCTGATCATGCTTTCCTTCTTTTCTTCAGAATACTAATGATTTCTTTCACTGTAAAGAATCCACCATACCTTCGAACTATGGTATTTAAATTTTGAACTTTACCAAACTCCTCCTCTGGTCCAGCTTATCAATATCTCCCTTATTGTCTTTGGCATGGTCCACTTCACCTCAAATATACCCAATGGCATGCTCCATATCCAATTGATTAATTTACAGTGAATGAAAAGATGATTTGCATCTTCGTATTACTGTCATACAAAAACATCTGTTATAGATACAGTCCCCTTCTCTGTACTCTGTAGGTTGTGCTGGGTTAGGCAAGCCTCCTTAGCCACCAACCAAGTTACACAGCCAATTTATGGGGAGTTCCATTTTCCATGACTTTTCTCCATGGATGATCTGAATGTGAGATATTTACCCATTTAAAGTAGTTCGTGACTGGATCTGATAGAGTATTCACTGAGTGCTATGTGTAAGATTGTTTATATCAAAACATGAGAGTCAATTGAATACTTTGAAATGTTCCGCTAGGACCACAAAATGACTGCTATCTTATGGGAGAAGAAGAAAAAAACTTTGAAGCATGAAACGACAGTTTCAGCATCTGTTCCATGTCATGTCGAGAATAGATTCTCATTTCTGTCAATGTGGGGTTTCTTGGTGACTTTGTTTATTTTCTCTTTGTGGTCCGGTTAATGCATTTTTCACTTTTGGGATTACAACAAGTATGTTGTTGTCGGTCTGGTTAGTGCATTTGTGCACAATTCTTGTGGGTCAGTTTTCTGAACTGCATAGAAATATTTCACATATTAAGCTTTGATTTCATGAAGGCCTATCAGAGTTCTGATCTTTGTACAGGTATGCTACTGCACTGGAGCGAAATCAAGAAGATTATGATGCGCTTTATAATTGGGCACTGGTTCTTCAGGTAATTTGATTTCTCAGTTTTCTGGACTGATTGTCTTGCAATTTTCTTTTTGTCATCCTATGCAAGCTTTATCTAGGAACAACCTATAGATAAGGAAAAAGAATTTGAGAAAGAGTAATCCCATTATCTACTTATCGAAGGATCTGAATCTTCCTTCCATAGAAATTATTCATGGTTCAATAATTCTTAGTTTTGACTTTTCATGCAGGAAAGTGCAGATAATGTAAGCCCAGATTCCACTTCACCTTCAAAAGATTCTTTGCTCGAACAGGCATGCAAAAAGTATGAGGAGGCAACCCGCCTTTGTCCTACGCTGAATGATGTATGTATTCAAAACCTTTTAATAGTCCTTTGATTTTACTTTTTTTTACAATTCATTTATTTAAGATGTAAATTTGTGTAAATGTAATTGGTCTAGGCTACATTGTGATGTTGGATTAAGTAATATTTACCTGAAGATCAGAGTACTTTATATGAAAAGTCACTATTTATTGGCCTATGTTATGATCTCTCACTATTTCATACATATTAGTGTTCTCTCTGATGATTTTCTTTTTGATATAACCTTTTCATTATTCTCCAGCAACAAAACCCGCTACCTTGTACCAAATTGCAAATTTAATACTGTATTGTCCACTTCCATTGAGTGCATCCACTGACATTGAGTTGCAGGAGCAATTCATATTGCTTGTAGAAGTTTCATATCCTTAACATTGGCATGCACCCACCCACACGTGCGCGCACACACACACACATATATATACACTATGACATGGTATGGAAGATTGGTAAAGATTTCTTCAGCTGCTGAACTGCCTTTTCCTTCTTGTTTTATCTCTGTCTTGTTCCTATTTATCTCAGGCTTACTACAATTGGGCCATTGCAATATCTGATCGAGCCAAAATCCGGGGTCGTACAAAAGAAGCTGAAGAACTTTGGAAGCAGGTATTGTTAACTTTATTCTGTTATTTTCTCTCATTTCCTCATGGGGGAAAAGAGTCTGTTTGGTCCTAATAGGTGGAGACATCTTTCCTCATCTATGTTTCTATGTTCTGTCAATAGATGTATCACCTTTGCAAGAGCCATGGATGAAGATATTGAAGTTATTCTGATTTTTTTTTATATGTAGAAGTTATTCAGAATTATTGTCACACTTGAACAACCACTTTGGTATCATTTGCCTTATTATTTCTTTGTTACCTAATTGAGGGTGGTTTGGTATCAAGAAATTGGTTTCCTTTTTTAAGTTTCAGAATGTGGAAAACAGAATTCAAACGATGGTGTTGTAACTGTTCCTGTTCTAGATACATCTTTCATGCATGCACACAAACACAAAAAAGAAAGAAAAAATGTGTCTCTGCTTTATTTGTTCCCTATTCTTCTCAACATCCTACATTACTCTTACCTTTATCCCCCATCCTCAATACTACCACTCCCACCTTCTCCCCAACCCCAACCCAGTTTTCGTCACCCTATTCGTACGATTTCCTTCCCATATGTTTTTTCCTCTTCATCTGTTGCTGTCGCCCTTTCTATCCTCTATCGCTGTTCCACATCATTCCCTTCTCCCCCCTCTGAACTACCTTTCCACGGCTCACTAGCATGTTCGTCCTTTTCTGCTTTCCAACTTTGTTCAAAAACTGCTTTTAATCCTGCCAACGTTCTTCTATTTGGTTGTAAAAACTTATATAAGTAGAGAAGATGTATTATTTTGATATTTCTAGAAATAGAATACAAACATAATTTTTATGCTTTGATTGGCAACTTATGATTTCATGAGAACAATAAAACTCGTCCTTATTCAAAAAACTTTTCTTATTCTTTTAAATTTTCAGGCAACAAAGAATTATGAAAAGGCTGTCCAGCTCAATTGGAACAGTCCACAGGTAATTTCTAATCTAGTTTAACTAACCGTAATAGTGGCTATCTGTCCCTGTTATTTCCTTACCAGACTATAGTTTTTTTGAATGCTATTTTTGTGAAGGCTGTATTATCACAAATACAGATATTCTTCTGATTTTTCCTATTTGTTTGTACAGAGGCCTTGTTATTTCTTTGGGTATACCAATTTACCAGTATATCAAATAACTCTTTCTAAAGGATGCAGTTGTACTATATCTTTTATGATTAACATACCAGCTTATTAATCTCCTTTTGTTTTTTTTTTATTTGGAGGTCACATAATTGATCTGCTTTTGTCCTTTAGTTATGGTTTTTTATGTTGAACAATTTTCTATATGTTATGCTAGTGAATTTCTGGTTAGGCTTAAGGCTAAGCAGACGTTGGTCTTCATTTCATATGTATTTTGCTGCTTTTCTTTTGCCTGTATAAAAAAAAGTTTTCTGCTTTTCTCCTGAGATGCATTATTTTACCTTCTATTGATCTACTTTTGATCTCTCGTCCTTGAGAGTTTTTCCTACTCTAATGCATTTGACTGTCATTCCAGGCATTGAACAACTGGGGGCTTGCCCTGCAGGTATATTTACTTGAAAAAACCTATTCTGGACAATCTTTTCTAGACTTCAAAATATTGTTAGTGTAGTTTATGTCATTTATAGTTCCTGAATTTTGCTGTGTATTTCAGTTTGCTGAATGAAATCTGACCTTATTCTTTTCGAAATACATCCAGGAACTCAGTGCAATTGTTCCTGCAAGAGAAAAGCTAACAATTGTCAAAACAGCGATCAGTAAGGTACTGGTGTTATTCGACACAAAGCCTAAATATGAAGAATAAGCTGCAAAATCATTTAGGTCCAGTAGTTTGGTAGAATTCAAAAAAAAATTGTTTATATAATTTTTGTTTATGCTCACACGTCACTCATCAATTCTTATGAACTTGCAGTTTCGTGCAGCAATCCAACTGCAATTTGATTTCCATAGAGCAATCTACAACCTTGGAACTGTTCTGGTGGGTTTTACATATTTGCTCCTTCTGGCTTCTGTACTTGGGAGAGTGTTGATCATTTACAGCAACCTCCTCCTTTTCAAGTGAAAATTGAAAAAACTTAAACAATGTGAAAGGACAAAGTGAAAATGGTGATTACCTTCTTTTTGCACCATTCTCTTGCAGTATGGATTAGCAGAGGACATGTCAAGAACAGGGGGAGCTGTTACTGCTAAGGATATTTCTCCTAATGAGTTGTACAGCCAGTCTGCGATTTACATTGCTGCTGCACATGCACTTAAACCAAATTACTCGGTATGTCATTTATATTTGAAAGATATGATTCCATTTTATCTCCATTATATTTCTGTTTGTATAAAAATTGGTTGTGATGATAAGGGGAAAGAGTGCAGTGGAGACATTGAGTAAAGTTAGAAATACGCCATCTTTAATCCGTAACTTCCCTTCCAATTTCTTCAAACTAATCTACCACTGACATGGTAACTGTTGGTGCGGGTGTCATTATCACTTATTAACTCTATACTCTGGTTTGGCTAACCGTATCAAAAGAGATTAAACTCTGTACCCTGGTGATACACATTGCTTGTAATTCAAGATTTTAATCATAATTCTGCTATCTTGTGAAGGAAAGTTGGCATCAGCTATCTAGTGGCTATTATTCTGTTTTAACTTGTTGTGCAGTTCCCGCTTTCTCTGTTGTCCTCATTTCAGCTGTCTATTGTTATGCAGGTTTATACAAGTGCCTTGAAGCTTGTGCGATCTATGGTATGTATTATTGCTTGGATCCTTTAGGAGTCGTTTGGTTTGAATTCAAGTTATGATGGGATAAGTTATACTAAGATTATTTTTTATTGAGTGTTTGGTTTGTTGTATCAAAATAATAAATCTTAAGAACAACATATAAGTTTACTAAAATACCCTTCATGGATGTGAAAAATAATGTATAAAAAGTGTTTAAAGGGACATTTTTGTCATTTATTCATTTTATCCCGGGATAAGTTATCCCGGGATTACTATACCACACATGGAAAGGGATAACTTATCCCGGTACTAATTATTAATCCCAGGATAAGTTATCCCAAACTTCCCAACCAAACACTAAATTAAGTGCCACAAAATAATTATCCCAGGATTATTTGTACCTATCCTTCACACCAAACGACCCCTTAGTCTCTGAATAGTCCCCCTTCTTATTTTGTTGTATTTGTTTTATTACGCTTGAAACTTAGGAGTATATTTGAAATTATATGCAGCTAAAGAGAAGTGCACCCAAACAGGAGATAAAACTTATTTTTTGATAGATTTGAAATCTTATAAGAATCAAAATGAGAGTTTCGTTTATCTTTTTAACAATATAGATGAGGGGAGAAGGTTTCCATTCAAAAAGATTGGAAAGCATTTTGGCAAATCATGGAATAACAATTTTTCATTATGATGATCAAAATTCAAAATGGTTGAGGGCTTTTATATGAAAAATCAAGTAATCCTTCTTTATTAGTATATTCAAGGGAGCCCTTTAGTACGGCAAAAGCAAAAGGAGAAGGGTCAATGAAAAGTTGGTTTCACCTCTTAAACTAATCTCTCTCTCACTCTCTCTGGTCGTTGAGAAAATAGAGAACAAGTTTTTATTTTGCAACTACATAGGATAATTTTGTAATTCTAATTTTAATCATTACTAAGTTGGATCCCTTCCCTTTCTTTACTGAAAAAACCTCTTGCTTTGCCGTCAAATATCATTGCAGTAGTCTAGTGAAACAAGTGCTCTTATTATGTAATATTTTGATTATTGAGATAAGCATGTGTTGAAGCTTTTTCTTCTTTGGGCATATTTAATCTTACTAGGCATGTAAGTTTGTCAAATAATGCAATCAAGTTCTAAGCACTTCTCTGTTTCAGCTACCTCTGCCCTACCTAAAGGTCGGATATCTCACTTCACCACCTGCTGGTAATCCACTCGCACCACACAGTGACTGGAAGCGTTCTCAGTTTGTTTTGAATCAGGAAGGACTTCAACAGGTGAAAACATTCCATGCCTCTGTTTGTTAACAATAAATGCACAGTATTTTTATGTACGCGATCCTGGCTCGTTTTTTCTTCACGGAGAGTTTAAAAGTCTAGCTTCATATGGAAACCTGTCTTGCATTCAAATTTTTTCATGCTATGAGGTTTCACCACAATTATAATAGCATAGCTAAATTAAGCTAGCGTTTGACCATAGATTTTCCCAAATAATTTTGGGAAATCAGATTTGGGTGAAGTTTGGATTGAAGTTTCAAAAAGTTTTTGGCCAAAGTTTTTGGAAACATGTCACCTTTTTTTTTTTTTTTTTTGAAAAACATGAAACATGACTTATACCCATAAGTTCTAAAAACTAGCTAAAATATCCATAAGTTAGGCACAAAATTATCATTTTTATAATAAACTAGATAATACATTATCCTAAAATCATAATACAATATTTTAATAAAAGTTACTAATAACACAATTACTAGCTACTATAATTCGTCATATTAAAATTAGTTACGAAGATCCATTAGTGAAAAGCTAGATAATAACAACAATACTAACTAGCTATATTTCAATATAATCTTTCCACATTCTACGAATAATCTCTTCACGGTGAGCATGCATTTCCAGATCAGATGACTGAAAAGGGTAGATAGGAATTAGTGGGGGTCATAAATCGATGAGCTTTTTTATAAAATATAAAAGTTTAGGGTAAGTTTTAAAATTTAAAAGGATATCATTAGCTATATTTTGGTCCCAAAACAAGTTTTTAGTAGATTTTGGGATTTGGTTTTCAAAATTTCACAAGAAACTAGACAAATTCTATGGCCAAACCGATTTTGCCAAAAAAAAAAAATCTATGGTCAAATGGGTCCTAAATTGTTTTTGACTATGGAAAAGTATGACCAGATCACGTGGTTGGACCTTACTATTGCTTATCATTATTTGCATGATCCTTTTGAACTTCTAACCTTGCATATCAGTTATGTAAAGCTACCATGTCACAGGTTTGTGACTATTTGCATTTGCTATTTTGTCCATGTCATCAAGTTCTAGTCTCCCACTTGAACGGGAGAATGCTCTATTTCCCTAAAGGTCAACCTTAAATCCATTTGATGCACACAAAGTGATATGTTCTTCTTTTAGATCGATCAAGTAGATGACAAGATATTTTTGCCTTTTAGTAGTGATGAATTGTGTGACCATTTCATCTAAAAGCCTAAGTTGTTAAAAAGAACACATTTTCATGTTCTTTGTTATGACTTCAACACGTTCCTTCACATGTTACTTTGTTTTTGTTTCATGGCCGCTACATGAAAATTCTTTTTGATAATAGGTGGCAGTGAGACTCGAGCATAGGAGATCAACCTGCTCTTATACCATGTTGAAGTGTGACCAACTCATCTAAAAAATTTCAAACTATACCGAAAGAGAACATATTTATATTCTTAATTACGTCTTCAACATGATGGATCTGAATGTTCTTGCATGTCTAATTTGATACATAATTGTAGCTTCCTTACTAGTAATTAACTAATTCCTTTTCCTGCTTGGACAGATCAGTAAAGTTGATCAAAGACACATGTCAAGTAGCCTTTCATCAAATTCAGCAGATACGAGTCCTAGTAGACAAGCAATTAAAGTTGATGTGCCAGATATCATCTCTGTATCAGCCTGTGCAGATCTTACATTACCACCTGGTGCAGGCCTCCGTATTGATACGATTCATGGGCCAGTTTACATGGTAATAATTCTTCATGCTTTCTCAACTTACATTTTCCACTTAAGATGTCGCCTGTGGCTACTTTATTTCAGCTCGTGGATAAATATGCCTTAGAGAGCAGTAGAAATTTGATTGCTATATTCTCTAACTTGATGATAATCAGGGTCAGAACACAAATCCAGTCCTATACAAACCTATAAATTGGAGACAGCAGTACATATGTTTCTTAATTATTTGAGACAGTCATATTCTCTGTCAACACGGCCAATGAAAATTACAAGTCATTTATGGATTATTTTAAAAGGAGGGTGACTAGTTATAATTCATCAACAAAAGCTAATGTTTTCTACATAGGGTGTTTTGATTGCTTCCTTTAGCAGATGATTTGATATTCTTAAAGTGATTGCCTCCTTTGCAAAATGGGCCATCCTTTCATAGTGCCTTTGCCTATGTGTTTTGGAATTTATGGAATATTATTGCCATCAAGCCCGGACCTACCCTTCACTGTCCTTGACCTGTTTGCTGTGATGACCCACTCACCTTTCTTCATCTTGTGATGGAAATTTGGTTATCGTTTAGGAATGAATTGACTTTTATGATCTATCTACGTCCACTTTTATTATGTTAAATCTACTTTTCTCTCTATGGTCATAGTGAGAAACCTTCCATGATTGTAATGCCCTTCTTCCCTCTCTTACTCTCATGCCACAAAAAGGCATACTTTGGTAACATCTGAAAACTGTATTTGGGGTGTCTTCAGATATTACCTTCTCTTTGAACAGACCCATTTGTCATATCTTTATCGGTTTATCTCACTTCTAAGCCCACTCAATTACATTTTCACTCCGGACTTTCCGAGTTGGAGATTATACCTTTAGATAGGACTTGTTTTCAGGTTTGTACAAAGATGTTGTGGTAATTTCGCAAACTTTAAGCTACCGTTACAAATGGTGCTATCTACATTTGATCTGTTCAGAAAACATATAAAATGGTTTCCCAGAGGTGAACATGAACATTGTGTGCAGATCGTCATTCTTCTTATTCGTGAAACATGTGAGAAATATATGGGGAAGATATTATTGAATTGTGTATCTAAATTGTTACATTGAGACCCCATTTATAGACAATACATTGAAATCCTTTTCTAACTAGGATTCCTATTCCTATTCTTCTTCCTATTCTTCTTCCTATTCTAAGTAGGAGTATATGTACATATTTCTATTCTAACACTCCCCCTCAAGCTGGTGCATACAAATCATATGTACCTAGCTTGTTACAGATGTAATTAATACGAGGACTTGTGAGGGACTTGGTGAAGATATCTGCAAGCTGATCATTTGACTTCACAAATTTCGTAACAATATCTCCTGAGAGTATCTTTTCTCTGACAAAGTGACAGTCAATCTCAATATGCTTAGTCCTTTCATGAAACACTGGATTTGATGCAATATGAAGAGCTGCTTGATTGTCACACACAAGTTCCATCTGATCAATTTCGCCAAATTTTAGTTCTCCCAGCAACTGTTTGATCCAGACTAGCTCACAAGTTGTTGCTGCCATTGCTCGATATTCTGATTCTGCACTAGATCGAGCAACCACACTTTGTTTCTTACTCTTCCACGACACCAAATTACCTCCTACTAAAACACAATATCCGGATGTCGAACGTCTATCAGAGGGTGATCCTGCCCAATCAGCGTCTGTATATCCAGTGATATGCTCATGACCTTGATCCTCATAGAGTAGTCCTTTACCAGGAGCTGACTTTATATATCGCAAGATACGAACAACTGCTTCCCAATGACTATTACAAGGGGAAGTCATAAACTGACTTACAACACTCACAGGAAAAGAGATGTCAGGTCTAGTTACTGTGAGATAATTCAATTTTCCAACGAGCCGTCTATACCTTTCAGGATTACTAAGTGGCTCCCCCTGTCCTGGAAGGAGTTTAACATTCGGATCCATAGGAGTGTCAATAGGTCTACATCCCATCATTCCCGTCTCCTCAAGAATGTCTAAGGCATACTTGCATTGAGAAATAACAATACCTGATCTAGACTGAGCAACCTCAATACCTAGAAAATACTTCAATCTGCCAAGGTCTTTAGTCTGGAAGTGCTTAAAGAGATGTTGCTTCAATTTGGTGATACCATCTTGATCATTACCAGTGATAACAATATCATCAACGTACACAACCAAATAGATACGCTGATTTGGTGCAGAATGCCGATAAAACACAGAGTGATCAGCTCCACTACGAGTCATGCCAAATTGTTGAATAACTGTGCTGAACTTCCCAAACCAAGCTCTAGGAGACTGCTTCAAACCATAGAGTGACCTACGCAATCGACATACAAGGCTACTAGACTCCCCCTGAGCAACAAAACCAGGTGGTTGCTCCATATAGACTTCCTCCTCAAGATCACCATGCAAAAAAGCATTCTTAATGTCCAACTGATGAAGAGGCCAATGACGAACGGCAACCATAGATAGAAAAAGACGGACATATGCTATTTTTTCCACATTTGTAGTGATAGGCATCAATGTTTCAAATTCCTCCATGACTGCCTGTACTTGTCCCAAGTAAGTAGACATATCGGATTCTTGTTTCTTTAAGTTGGTCATCCGAGATATCACATCATAGAATCGAGATATGTCATTAGTGTATAAAGCACGTGCCTTTTCCCAAACTAAATAACATGTCTGGGATGGGCGAAACAAGGGCATCAACTTAGAATCAATAGAGCGCCAAAGGAGACTACATAATTGGGCATCCACTTTCTCCCATTGTGCTTTGGCTTTTGCACCTTCGCCACTAGACTTTGTCTTTTCATCTTCAACCCAAGCATTGTTTGTTAAGTGATCGTGAATACCTTGACCTTTGCACCACAACGCAACTGAAGAAGCCCAAGCTAAATAGTTTGAACTTCCCATTAATGGTTCTGAAGTGATTGTAAGGCTTGAACTTCCAATCCCCATATTTTTGGAGCCAAAAACATCACATCCGAAAGACATTTTTCGAAATTTGACTTGAAAAGAGCTGGAAACTGCCGGAATCTACCCACAGTGGCCTGAAAAAAATCTGATTTCACCGGGAACTCGCCGGAAACTGCCTGAAAATCACCGGAACCCTAATTCCGGTGATCAGATCTAGAGAAAACTGAATGGAATCTGGTCGGAAATACTGGGCGACCTCAACAGAAGAAAACAGCTCAAAAAAAGATGACCGGAGCAGCAGTCACGCGCCAGCGCGTGAACAGATCTCGCCGGAAAGTTTCCACCTCCGACCGGTGCGTGGGGGCGCGTGGGGGGTTGTTTTTCGGTGGATCTGATTGGGGTCCGGTCGCCTGTGCTTCCCGAGCCTCGTGATGGTGTTGTCTTTCGCACAACACCTTCAGAATGAAAGATGACACAAATCAGTCCCAACCGTCGTCGCCGGAATTTGACACGATGACTTAAAATTCTCACCAATGCTCTGATACCATGTGAGAAATATATGGGGAAGATATTATTGAATTGTGTATCTAAATTGTTACATTGAGATCCCATTTATAGACAATACATTGAAATCCTTTTCTAACTAGGATTCCTATTCCTATTCTTCTTCCTATTCTTCTTCCTATTCTAAGTAGGAGTATATGTACATATTTCTATTCTAACAAAACACAACTCATTAGTTTTATGTTCTCCATGAGTTCCTCCTTGTAGGTGAAGGAGTGAGTGGGAAAACGAAGTTTTAAATATGTTCATTTTAAGATTACTCTATTGATTGGAACACCTCCTAAGTTTTACATTCAGTTTTGGAGTTATAGTATTTTACATTCCCTGGAAAATTTCCTTTTGCATGATCTTGTGACATTCTTCTATTTCTCAGATTGCAGATTCATGGGAATCTTTGGACTGGTGGCTTGACGCAATTCGTTTGGTTTACACGATAGGTGCAAGGGACAAGAGTGACGTTTTGGCAGGCATCATCACTTCATAAGCTTTTAGCATGTAACTATATGATCAACCTCAAAGGTGGGATTCCTGCTCGAGAAAAGCCTGATTTATTAGTCTCTGGAGTCTGTTGCTAATGTACACTTGTATATTATTTGATTTTTCACATGAAATGAGGTTCATTGAAGTTCCTCTTTTAAGCGGACGTACGTCACAGGACTACAGATATTTGAACTTGTACTGATGATGTTTCATAGATGTGGATTAAGGAAGAGACTTTTTTAATTAAATTCTTAGAGGGTTCTTCTTGTGATCGTCTATCGAGTTGATTTGCTTATTTAAATTAAAAGAATGAAATGCTGCATAGCTGTTTTAGTTATGCATTTGGTAAGGATTTAAGATATATTCAGAGACATTGTAAACACGATGGATCCTTAATCATAGCAAGTTACTTACTATATCTCAGGTTATTCATGTTTTTTTACTGTAGATACCTGCAATTGACTTCTAATTAATCTGATAGAAAACAAAACACACTAATTGTTTAAAAATCAATCCCGCACCCTCTATTTACTCTAAACTAATGAATGCAAGCTTGACACGCATACTTATTCCTAAAACATGGTTAATTAATGTGTACTTTCAATGTAATTACCCTCACCTCTCTTTCTAACGTCTTATTCTATTTTCCCTCTCTATCTCTGGAAACAAAGGATCCAGATAGCAATTGAGGATTTGTTTTAATGGATTTTAGTAATTACGTTCTTGGATGTACAATGCTTACAGAAAACTTGTAATATTTTGCACAGGATATCGAAATTTATTGTAAATGAATGCCACCCATTCTCATTATAAATATCCTCTGTGAGATACAACTTTATCAGTTCCTAGACTAACAACACAGAAAAAACTAAACGAAACGAGCTGTAGGTGACTTTAAAATTCTCCTGTAAATCAGTACATTAGTTTTTTCATTTTTATGGACCAGTTGGACACTGAAATTCTTCAAGAAGCCAAGAATTTCATGCAGATTGGAGGAGCTACCCTGGCCAAAGCAAGTATAGATGCAGGAAGAATCCATAGACCTTCTCCACAGATCAAACCAGAAGCAACTGCTGGAACCATCACCTTAGCCTTTTTAGAGTTAAGTTTATGCCACACAAACACAACCAAACTCCCTATACACATATCAATACCAAAATAACCACCAATTAGAAAAGGCACCGCCATCGCCATAGGCAATGGCATCCACTTCCCTATCTTCTCTGGAGAAAGATCTTTCACCAAATTTATCGCAACAGCAAATGCAAAGAACCCATAACACAGCTGCAAGCAATGTTGAGGTAAAGCCGAAACACCTTGAACACTGAGAATCGCCATGTTTCGATAGATCAATGCATAAGGTGCCTTGAATTCACCATTTGGGTTGCCAATATCAAATGCATTGTAGAACAAAAAGAAGCATAATGGACCTATCACACAGCCTAAAGCTGTCCCTATAGCCTGGCTAAGAAACATAGTTTTTGGAGATGTCAATGTTAAATGCCCTGTCTTAAAATCTTGCATTAAAATGCAAGAAATGTTAACTACTGACTTTATCAAACCACAACCAGCTAAACCAGCAATGACACCATGTTCTTTACCAGCCAATGCAGCCATCATGAAAAGTCCTACTTTACCATAGTTATATGCCATGTTTATGTCAGTCAAACCTGAGCCATACGCGTTGCAGAAAGCTAAAGACGGAGCAAAAAGATAAGCTAGTATCACCCAATACCATCTGATCTCATGGAAAATCAATGGAATCATAATCACAGCAATAGTCCCCAATGCTAAATACCCTACACCTCCAATCCACATTGGAATTCTTTCTCTAACAAACGCTTCATCGCATTTCACATCCTCTGATTTCTTCTTCTGCCTCACTCCTGCTGCTGATATATCTAGTAATCCAAGTATTTGATTAATCATCATACAACACATAACAGTACTTATAATAAAGCTAGATTGAAGTTTACCTGGACTTAGATTTTTGCGTTTGAACCTCTCGTGAACACTAGACAGTGTGAAATACAATATCTTGACAAAATTGTAGAGCCCATCACCAAGGAGGAGCGCGATGGAGATGAAGACCTATATATCAAGAAACATATAGTACTATAAAATGAAAAAAATCTGTAGCAAATTCAGATTAAAATTTAGAGAAAGATTATTAATTAACCTTGTAACCATTAAGGCTTTTCATACTGGATTCTGATATATCAGCAGGGAACCATTCTCCTTTAAGTTTTGCAATGAGAGGCCACATAACACCCCATGAAAGAATTGCCCCAAGAAGCAATGATATGTTTACTATATGCGGACATATCATTCCAGTTCCCACATAAGTCAAGCTAAAATCAAAGTAAAATCTACACCACAACAGAATCTATATGTTAGGTCATCCTCAAGTTTAAGCAGAAAAAAAAGAAGCAAAATACATCGACAACCCCCCTAGTAAATTTCATTTAGACACTCAAAGTGTTCTGTGTGAGAACCTGATAAAGTGTTCCTATCAGACACTTTCAAGGGGTTGTCGATGTATTCAGCCAAAAGGAAAAAGACATACGTTTGTTTCCATGCTTTTAATCCAAAAGTAGGAAACTGTTGAAATCCACAATCTTGTTTGCCAGTATAAAACCACTGAAAGAAAGCCCAGCTAAAACTATAGGAAAAAAACTTGAGGAAACCTTTCACTTGCTTTCTGCAAAATAGTCAACAACTTTTAATAATTTGACATTACTATAAAAAGAAAGCTTTTTCAACGTAATCTTACCTAGCTTTTTTATCATTCTTTCCATGAAATCCATTAATTAGAACAGCAGTTGCCATTCCAGTTGGAAAAGTCAACTTATAATCCACTATCAAGACCTGTGCATAATTGCAAAACAATGTTGATTTCATCAATTAATTTAAATGATTAAAAAATATTAAGAACTTAAAGTACCTTTCTAAGTGGAACTAATACAAAAAGTCCAATAAAGCAAACTACAAGAAGATATCCAATCATCCAACCAATTTCAAGTTTCTTATAACTATCTGATGTATTTCCAACTGTTCCAACCCCTGCTAATTCATATGTTTTCTTATCCATTCCCAATAAATAAGATCCTAGTCCACCTGAAAATTCAAATATATTATCACAAAAAGTCTCATAAAACATAATCAAAACAACACACTATGATAATATACCTCCAAGAGCAATGCTGTAACACGCGACAGAACATGTTTGTATCATAGTATTTTCCTGTCTTGTGAAAGGAACAGAGACGAACCCGAGCTTTTTAATGATCTTAGTCCATGCCTGAATGAAAACATAGGCAAGAAGAGCAGCTGATACATTGAGATTAGGATTGATCCCAGTTGTGAGGTTCATTTTCATTTGTATCACACTGTAAATGCTACCAATAATTGTACTAGCAATTATTCCTCGTAAAGTGATCTGTTTTGTCCAAGGTTGAATTCTCATCGCGCTCTCAGCCAACTCTTCTTCCTCCTCCTCCTCCTCCACGCGTTCCTCCATAGCTAAATCGCGAACTTGCTCTAATTCTGTGTTGTTATTATTCATCACTTCAACTGCAACAATTCAAAAAGAGTCATAATTTAAGAATACTACATAATTACTCTTATTTTTTCAAAAAAAAAAATAATACCTTGAGGAAGAGCTAGCTAGATGAAATGTTAGCTTCAATGGTACAAGTTACAAATAAAATTAATACAAGTAAAAAGGGAATATAATCAAGTACAGCTACTAATAGTTTTTGGGAATATTTTTACCAAAAAAAAAGATATTAAACTGAGAGAATGAAACTTTTTATTATGAAGTGAACAATTCCTAGAGCTTTTTTATATGGGATCTGGTCCCAGAATTTTGGATTTTCTACATTTTTTTTACTCATATTATTGCCTCCATACTGTAAGTTGACTATTTTATTTTTGAGCCGAGTCTATCGAAAATAACCTCTTTATCCCATAAAAATATGGGTAAGATTGGTATATATCCTATCTTATTTAGACTTAACTTTTGAAATTATACCAAGTATATTATTGTTGTTGTTTGTAGCGTAAGGTGACTAATTTTATGATGAATATTAAGTATTTTCTCATGTTACTAAGAAAGAAAAATATATATTTATGTATATACCCACAAACACACAAAAAGGAAGAAAAAATAACCACCATATATGGAGAGAGTTTATTTAACAAGTATCTTGCTGGCATGCAGACCTTATTATTGACCTTCTACATGCATTATTGGGATCATGGTTGGATGAGTCGGAATTTAAAATTGGTGGGTTCGAGATTTTAATATTTTTTTCAAGTTATTAAAGTATAAATTAATAATTTGTATATATTTAATAAATTTTTAAAATATAAATAAATGAAAATTATTGAGTTCGACTTCGCTAACCCGTAAATAATACTTAGGATATAATTTAATTTCTGCGCACTAATATGATCAATAAAGCTATGATAGAACTTGAATTTTTACTTTTGAAAGAACATAAAAAAGACAATGAAATTCAATATGTTTAAATATGCAACATAATTTTTTGAAGAAAAGGTGTCAATGTTTCGATAAAAATGACTCTGCTATATATGATAGTATAATATATATGATGTGGATCATATAAAATTTATAGTTACAACTTACAAGAAACTTTTTAGAAGTAATATAATAACATTTTATATAGGCATAATAAATTAATGTGCCCTTTAACTTGATTTTATTTCATATGTATGTCCTCTAACTTTGGGTGTTCATAAGTAGGTACACTCAAACTTGTATAAAGTTGAACACGTAGACACATGGGTCCTACGTGGCATAGATATACATAAGACACCATGTAGGATGCAAATTGTCATGTAGAATGTCATATATGACGTATTTGTCTATTTGTGCAACTTTATACACGTTTAAGTGAACACTTGTGCACACCCAAAAGTTGGCCAAGTTAAAAGGCAAATTTATGTATTATGTCTTTTATATACGATTATGTTAATACTTATAATATAATCTTTTTTAATTGTTTCAATATATATAAATAAATAAAACATGAATCCATAAAGATAATGTACTAGTAGAGGAGGTTCTTCCATCATAAAGTAACCCAACTTTTGGTTCATGTCTCTTTCTTTCTTTCTTTCTTTTGTGTTATTTTATTTATTTTAAATTTTGGAATCTACAAATAAACTAAATTTGAGCTCTTTAAAAATAAACCTTTTTAACATTTTTGGACAAAGATGTGTATTAACCTGTAGTTCTCAAAAGGCTATATAAATATATTCGAATATTATGATTGTGAATTATTTTCGAATATAATGAGTGATATGTCAATTATATATGAATAAAATAAAAGAATAAGAGAGGTGGACAGTGGAAAATTCATTCATCTTTATCTGATTGGCTAAAAGAGTCAAAAAGATTCTTCCTGTTGGTTGCTTGACAAATGACAACTAATTAAATATTCTTTAGAAATTAAAATATGTTTGACTAATACTATTACATAAATAATCAAATTTAAATTAATATGTATGTGTACATAGTTAAGCAGTAGTTTTGTATAAAATGGTAGTAATAAGTACCCTCCATTTATAATTAGAAATTCCGACTTCAAGGATTGCGAATGAAGTCATTTCTAATAGAAAATATTTTATATTAAAATGAAACTAAATTAATTGAGTTTCAAAATAAATATATTCCATCGAAGAGAAAAAAAAAATGATGATGCTTTAAATTGGACAAGTTGGAACTACCTGTTCCAGACAAAAATAATAAAAGAAGAAACTGAATTCCTCTCATTTTAATTTGTTCATTTCTAGAAAAAAATTATCTCTCTTTTTACATTTCTTTAATTCTAGACTATAGATTAAAAAATATTTTGATATATATTATATTTTTTCAATTTAAGATAACAAAATTCAAAGATCTTCTTAAATTTGATATTAAATTAAAATAAAATAAATAAATGAAAAGGAAGGGAATATTTTTTTGGGGAAGTAAAAGAGTAAAATGTGTCACAGTATATCTAAAATATCATACTATATACAGACTAGCTAGGGAGAACAAAGTTCAGCCTAGCTTATAACTAGCCGAATCCAAACACTAGTGAAAATATTAATTACTTATTACATATAGTCATATACTTCAAGAATAATATTTTATTTTGATATATATACACTAGTGAGTGAGAGAAATAATTGGGACATAAAAATAATCTTGTTTCATTTTGACTGATATAATTCAAACAAGTGGGCTATAAATATCTATAGGTATGGCCCCAAATTGGACTTTTTGTACTTGACTATTTGATTAGTAAAACAAGATCCAAACATTGTTTAATGCCATAATTAGAGTGTTTAAACAATTACTTAGGAAACATTTAGCTGAAAATTAGGCATAAGAAAGAGAGGAAGACGTGGGGACTGACACCTAGCTACTTAATCATCCTCCTTTCTTTACTCTTAATCAATTACATAATTGCTTTTAAATTACAAATTTATTGGAGTTTGTAGTACAAATTTTGTACTAATCCACTTTAGTTCTCAAGTTTTTTTAGATTAAAGATCTTCATTTCTGCATAAAAGAGATCTCATTTCCTCATGTCCACCTTGTTCTGTTAATATTCAAATGATTTATTTGCTTTGTTATTTTTTACTTGTTCAATATATTTTTTTTAAAAAAAACAAAATTTCTTATACTTAATTCACATGATCAATTTAAAAGAAATACTCTCCTAATTATTTTCTCCAATTTTATCCTTAAATGACTATTTCTAAAACATATTAAAATACTTGTAATCAAATTTAGATTTTCACAATATAGTGAAAAACATATTATTGGACAAATTTATAATAAATAGCTAAAAGTAAATTTTACGCTGATAGTCAACTTATCATAATTAATGCTCAATGACATACATGGAATTTGTGCAAATGGTATATATCTTCTTTGTTATGGCAAATCAACTTATATGCTTTGCAAAGCTCGCAAAGGTATAGAGTTGATCTTTTCCATATATACTTTATTATTAATCTCGTAATTACCAGTGTCATGTAGCTTCTAATTACAGTTAAATTAGTATATAATTAATGGATTGATTTATCTTTTTATTTGTGCCTACCTCCACTACTTTTAGTGGAGTATAATCATCATCATCTCCTTGTTGAAAGCAACAAGAATAAAGAATATTATAAAAATCAGAAAGATGATAGTACACAAAAACAAACTATAATCAAATGCAGTTATGATTATTGTACTTAATAATTTCAGTCAATGGATGTTTCAGTTATATGGGTATGGGATACCATAATACTATATTTAGATATTTGAACTACGCTATTCTAATTGAACATCTTAATTGATCCTAATAAAATGTTTCAGTTAGATACTTTCAATTCAAATCGTGAAAGAAAAAATAATTTGTATGTGTTTTCATTTGTCTATTAAATAGTTAAGTTAACCATATAAAGTATGTTATTTCTGTATAATATATCAACCTCAAGTAGAGATATTGAGTTTTACGACTTGTTATTGTACTTAATAATTTGAGTCAATGGATGTTTCAGTTATAAGGGTATGGGACATGGTACCATAATACGAGTATTATAGATATTTGAACTAAGCTATTCTAATTGAACATCTTAATTGATCCTAATAAAGTGTTTCAATTAGATACTTTTAATTTAAATCTTGAAAGAAAAATAATTTATGTGTATTTTCATTTGTCTATTAAATAGCTAATTTAACCACATAAAGTATGTTATGTATAATATAGCAACCTCAAGTGAGATATCTTGAGTTTACGACTTGTTATAAGTACAAATGCGTATAATCAAAGAAAATATTATGATATAGTTGATATTTTTTTATCCACAAACTAGTTATATATGGTCCAAGTTGAAAACACCCACAAAGACACTCAACATGCATGTGTTAGCCATGAACTAAAGAAAAAAAGAGAGTTAAAAACATCCACTATATATCAGTTAAACTAGATTCCTCCTATAGTAGTGTGGGGTTAAATTTTGAGTCCACATTTTTAGAAGCATATCGAATATATTGACTTGACTAATCTGAATTTTAGTCGTATACTATACATTTTCGGAATATGATCAATTACAAACTTTTCGTTAAGAATGAAAAAGTTATACTTATACCATTTTATCATATTTCCATACGCGTCCATTTGTTTCTTTGACTTACATAGAAAGAAAAATAAGTATTCGATCGAGTGAGAATTAATAGAGCACATCCTTGTTGCGTATGGAGAAAATTATTCTCATAATTTCTACAATGACTTTTATGGTTAAAGGAAATTGTATATAGAAGAATATATAAAGGAACAAAAATAAAAGGTGTTTTATCTTGGATTTGAACAATTGCATAAAATGTCTACCTTAGAAATAGAATACAAACAAAAAAAGAATATGATATTTGATAATTGACAGTTGATTGATTTGTAAGGGAGGAAAACACACGCCACTTGATGGATGCTTCCACAATGTTTCACTCTTTAAGTCAATGGTTTATATCAATTTGCAACTATAGATAACTCATAACATTCCCCCACTTAGCTACCAATTTTATTCACCTCCCTTCATTTCCTCCATTATTATTTTTCCTTTCTAGAAGTTAAGTCTCTTTCAGGTTTAATTTCATCTCTAACTATTAATTTACTTAATTATTCGTATAACAAAAATTTAGAAAATCTGATTTTATATTTTAAGAATCTGACTCAAAAGAAGTAAAAAGATCGAGTGAAAGAAAAGAGAAATCTCGATAACTCAAATATTGCGAAGTCTGCACCTTTATATATAAGATCAAAACTGAATGCTAGGACAAATTTGATATATTGTCATCTTTGATCTTTATTATCAAACAATTTATGATCAATGAAGTTAATTAAGAAACATACAGGCTCTAGCTCCATACTTGTCCAATATATACCTAATACCTTCTCTCACTAAATACTTGGTCACATGTCCGTCAAATCTTACAAATAAATTTTGTTAAATATTTAACGGAAATAAAAAACGTCCATTGTTGAGTTTTGACAAACTTAAAAGTGAACCCAAGAACCTTTTTGCTTTTTTCTCCTTTTCTTGTTTGGTGACGATACTTGAATTGCCATCAATGAGTTATTAATTAGTTGATACTACATGATATATATAATTATATATAAAGCTCCAACAATTAGCTTAATGTTCCCAAAAAGCACAATTGAAGATACAAAAAAGTATAATGAATATATTTAGGTAAAGCTACACGATACTTTGAATTTTGATGGGGTGATATTAACATTTAACATATATTGGCGCGACATGTGTTTTTCCATTTTAGGGGAAACCGTCCACTAAGAATTTATCAATTTCAATATCGTGAACTTAAAATCTCGTACATCCCACTATATGATATGATTTGAACATTATGTTAATAACTTTAGAGGTGACCATTCCACTGTACAAGTTAGTTGGGGTGGGGGGATTCCCTCACCTCCCCACTATCCATAAAAAAGTGGCATACCAAGTTACCAACTTTATATGTGTCCAATATCTCCCATAGAGCTGGAAACAATGTGATGTAACCATATACAAATCTTACCAATAATTTATTGTGTTCATCCCTAAGCCTTAACATATGTGTCTAAAAATAATAATAATAAAAAAAGATTTAAATCAACTTAGGTTGGTAACTCTCTTGTGATTTCCAGTCACTTAGATTTACTATTATCCAATTTCAGGCCATGACCAGCAAAAATTATTCAAGGACTAAGTAATTCATTTCACAGAAGGATGGCCCAATATACATTTTTGAAGTGGACCTGGTGTTCTAATACCCATAACTTCAAACAGGCCCAAAATGGATACTGCCCAAACCAAATGTTTCTAGTATTTGCACTGCTCTATTTATTAATTGGCAAATCCAAAGCAAGACATCAAAAGTGAAATGGCAGCATAATCAGAATTTTCACATGAAGAAGATTCAATATCTATTATAAATACATAAAAATAGTTTTAACGTTTCCGATAAAAGAGGTTTGGATATATCACTGCCTAGTCCCTTTGAACTTTGAAGGGTATATAGATTTCTAACTGTTTCAATCATTGCTGAAAAATCAAAAAGACAAGTGCAGAGCAAATTGCGCATAAGTACAATGTATCGCTACTTTTTGCGACTACGGTTAAGAAAAAGCCTTAGCACGCGGCATATCAAAACTCTGTTGGCCAATCCGCCTTCCTACTTTGTCGCCTTCTATACTCTTTTAGGCTCAATTTATTTATTATATATGCTCTCATTTATTTAGTGATAAATAGATTAAAATCCTCCAAAAATTATCATATTTTTATTAGTTTCAAATTTCAAATTACATTACCCTATAAATGTGATACCCCAACTAAATACATGAGATATGTTGAATATATAAGTAAGCAAGTCTTATTAACTAGTGACGCGTTTTAAAGTCATGTGGATCTAGGTCCAAAACAGACAATATTACTAACGGACTGAGAATGATATCAAAGTCACTCCCATGTTAGCCTTGGGCTAGAGTTCAACTGACTTTAGATAAATCCCGAAAACGCTTATGCGACACCCCTTCTTAAGATTAGTGGAGAGGTATTGAGTATAAGTAAGTATGTTCTACATGCAACCTTCTCGATATATCAATTATCGACAGGCAAAGGCTGTGTAGATTACCCAACTTCGAATGAGGGCAAATTTGACCCATTTTTCTCCGTTTTGGTTTTAAAAAAATGATAAGAAAGGTATTTTTGAATTATTTTACTAGTTAGAAAGTAATTTGAGCTAAAAAATGTATCGATAAAGATATTTTTAAGCAAAATGTATAAATTTAACCAATTTTGAATAGTTCATGTATTTGACTCTTTCCGTTTATTATACGATGGTTAAAAAGGATGTCTCCGATTCGATGCACTTTAGCTGAGAGTCTTTTGAAAACTTCTCTCTCTTCACGAGAGATAATAATAAAATCTACCTACACTCTATCCTTTTTAGATCCACTCATTGAGTAGGTTGTTACCTTTATTATATGGTGTCGTTTAAGAGAGAATAGATCAAAATCCTTTTTTTTTAAAATCACATTTTTATTATTTTCATACTTACAATAGGTCTTAATTTACATAACAAATGAAGTATATTTAATTCGGTAAAAATTGTCGTTTTGTCAAACTCCACCTTCCACGTCCCTAACCTATTCTGTCTGCTGAGCATATGAAATTGTCAAAACCGTGTGCTCTCCAGACTCCAGCCCCAAGATTCATTCCAAAACAAACGTCGCCTCATTCCTTAGCCCTTCATAAAACCCCTTCTTAATTCATTCCAATCAACAAAACGAAATTACGCAAAAATGTGTAAAGGATTTCAACCAAACGAGAAAGATCGCCTGAAAATCAAAGGCATTTATCTCCATTTATCATTTTCATCACCGACTGAAACCGTCTCACCCGATTCTCTAACTCTGCATTATCTCCCTCGAATTAGTGAAAGTCCATTAGAGATTAACGAATCCAAAATCCGATCTAATTTCCCCGGTTTCGTTACGCTCCACCGGGTCGTATCAGCTGAGAAAGTAACAACAAAAGGTGTTATTTACGGAAGCAGAGACAGAGTTAAAGCGAGTGAAGGAGTAAAATTCGAAATATTCATGGCTGATGTAAAGCTCATAAAAGGTATTTTCATGAAAGATCTAGAGAACTGGAGAATCGATTGCAAGTGCGCTTTGGAAAACGACGATTTAAAAGTGAAAGGAGCAGAGGTGTGTGTGGCAGTGGAAGGACGCACCGCTGCGGAGGTAATTACTGAGAAGGTGGAGATGACGGTGAGGAAGAGGAGAACACGGCGGAGGAGCTGTTTTCAGAAGCTGGAGGAGATTCCTGAACAAAGAGAAGTTGAAAATGATGAGTCTACTTGTTGCTGCTCGGAGTGTGAAGGTGAAGAAGACGATTCGGACGGCAGCGACGCGGCGGAGGGAGTTGGGTGGGCAGTAGATGTAGGGATATGGGTGATGTGCCTTGGGGTAGGGGTGGGCTATTTGGTCTCTAGAGCTTCTTCAAAGAGCTTAAGAAGAAGGAGATTCATATAATTATAAAACATATAGTTTAGTTTAGTTTCCTGCTAGTAATTTCTAACAAATTGGATTTAGCAGCAAGTTTTGTACAAGTATTTGAGTCTACAGACAGGATCCTCATATTGCTTGCTAATGAACACAATTTTCCGGCAATTATCTACATTAATCTCACTGTGCGGCTCGTTTAATCCAAAAATAAATTATTCTTGAATTGTTTATTTCATCCTGTTTTTATAACTTTGCTTTTGAAAGATAACAAATTTACCAATCGTCAATCACTCAATTGTTCCACCATATTACATTTTTTAATATAAAGAGATGAAAACACACATTTTGCTTGTGTTAAATTACAATACAATTTGGCGAAAAATCACGATTAGCACTTTTATGGCGTGAGGAAGCTCAGAAGTAATGGCTTGAGTTGGGGTGGGGAGATTATGTAATTCAATTTTGGTAATTGTCACGCTTCCGTTTCACGGTCTAAGGCCTTTAAATTCGAGAAAAATGTTTTGACTTTAAAAATTCTTTAGACATTTAAATATCATTATTCATGCTTATGTGTATTAATTATAATATTTAAAAGAATTTACTTTTTCCAAATTAAAACAAGTAAATTTATACATATATATAATTAGTCTAAACTTTAAAAGAAAAAAAAAGATCTACTAAATTCGTTTATTGCAGAACAAATGAATCTTCTGTTAATCTTAGACTAGACAAGCTAGATTATTACGATTATTAATTAATCTAGGCAGTGAACAAGGACTAATTCACTATTGCACAAGTAATTTGAATTCTCATTTTCTTTTTCTATTGCTAAAACATGTAAATAAATTGAAATGCGATTAATCGCAGCACGTGTCATCACAGAGATGTATGTATCCACGTCAGCGTCTCTACACCACCCAACTTATGATCCGGAACCCAAACCCGAATTACCCGTATCCATATGCTGGCTGGCATGAGGCATCTCCTTCCTTCATACATATTTATTTTTTTTGTAAATCACTTCTCATGGCAGTCAACAGATCCCCCTAATGATAAAATAAAAGTAAAATCACTTTAAGTAAATTATTTATCGCCTAGAATTTAGAGAAAAATAAAAAACAAAATAGGTAGTAATAAAATCTGTAAAATATTATCGATAATAATTTGTGATAGAATAGTTCATTTGTGAGCTACATTCAACTGCCAATACTTTCTCCGATGCTCTTCCGTCAACTTCAACGGCCACTTCCACAATCGGCAACTTATAGTTCAGTTTTCTAACACGCGATTTTACTTATTCGGTCGGAGCGGCGATGGGCGGCGGCGGTCCCAGAAACTATTCGGCCAATCCAAATGATTACAAGCTTCTCGAAGAAGTCGGTTATGGAGCCAGTGCAACAGTTTATAGAGCGATCTATCTTCCTTACAATGAAGTTATTGCAGTCAAGTGCTTGGATCTCGATCGCTGTAACAGCAATCTGGTTTGTCTATATTTCTTCTGCTTTGTGCTCTTCGAGTTTGCTGATGGAAAATTGACTTTGACTTGATTTGACTTGCGGATTAGTTGATGTTTTGCTTTGTGATGTCTAGTATAGAATTATAGATGCATTTTTAGTTTATCTTAATGGATATAGGTGGTTAGAATTGCAAATTGGCTATAGAGATCATAGAGTTGAAAGGACGAGGCTTCAATTGTGATTTCCTTGTTTGCTTTGACTTGTCATACGTCCATGTTTTTACTCCTTGTATTTTGTTAGCAGCCAATATAACAAGACTCATTTCTGGTGGCTCCAAGTGATGTTGATTGAACAAAGTCACTGATTTTGTATTTTTGTTGACCCTTTATTAATTTTACACTGTTGGAGTTCATTGGCAAGCAGAGGGTCTTTCCAAAACAGCCCCTCTACCTCCTCTACCTCCTCTACCTCCTCTACCTCTAGGAGGTAGAAGTAAAGTCTGCGTACACTCTACCCTCCCCAGACCCCACTTAGTCGGATTTCACTGGGTATGTCGTTGTTGTTGGTGTTCATTGTCGAGCCAAGGGTCTTTCGAGACAACTTCTCTACCTCCTAGAGGTAGTGGTAAGGTTTGCGTACACTCTATCCTCCCCAGACTCCATTTAGTCGACTCCATTCAGTCGGATTTCACTGGGTATGTCGTTGTTGTTGGAGTTCATTGGCACTAAACGCTAATGCACAATTTGTGTGTAATCAGATAACAAAGTATTATCGATTAACTGGGTTAAGTCTGAAGTGACAGCTGGTTTTACCTACCAGTAAGGCAGTAACAATAATCAGGTTTGGAAGGTTTAAATTCTTTTCTTGAACTCCTTTTGGATTGCGCTTTTATGTCAAAGATTCTGGTTTGCTAGGTGTTCCACTGATGATGTATGCATATGAAGTTCTCTTCAAGGGCATAAAAAGAACATATAAGATCTTTGGCTATTTTGAAATGCGATTTGCTCCACGTCTATGGCAGTTCATTTCCTAATTTTATTTTTCTTTGTTATTGTTGTTGGGGATATTTTCAAATAGAAATAATAATATGCGACAAAACTATTTAGCAGGGGCAAAAGAAAAGAAAAGAAAACAATACACAGTAATGTAATTTTTAGTTGGATCAGATAACAAAGGATAGAAAATGAAAGAGCGACTTGTATTTAGCGATAGAATGGACGACAATGAAATGGACAACAAAACCAAAACAGTTTCTTAATTACATCTTTGATGGACGTTATCTGAGAAGCCTGTGGATTCTCTCTACAAATACCATCACATTATAGTATTCAACATAAAATCACATTATTCCTGTCACCACTAATCCTATTTTATCAGGGGATTTGTAGCTATCAAAATTCAAAGAAGTTCTCTTTTTTTGTTAGCAGATTTCTCATTAAGTTCTTGTTTGACTAGTCGCTAGTAGAACCCCATGATATTCATCTGTTTGAAGTTATTATTTTCAGTAATGAATTGATCTTTGTTTCCTTCTTAATAAGGTAAATACAGATTTGGTAAGCAATTAATAGACCCCTTACTATAACCAGCCCTAGGAAAATATTTGAGAGGAAGTATCCCTGAAAGTAACCATGACCATCTGTGCTTGGTCTATTTTCGACTTTTCATGCCACCCAGCATTTTTGTGCTTCTTTCTACTTGTGATAATAGTTCATTTTGGTAAGTTGATCGATGCATTCAATGTAAGCACCCACTAAAATTATCAGGTCAGTGTTGTCAAAGGCGAAAAACATAGAAAACTGCCAAGTGTTTGCTGGTGTTTTAGCTTTTAACTAAAGCTTAAAGCATGAGCTTTAGTGTAGTAAGGCTTCGACGAGAAAAAGTAACTTAATATATAAAGAACAGTTATATTGGCCAAAGAATTGAAAAACTACGATTACATAGAATATACAAAGTATAAGTCATATCAACAAGTTCAAATCTATTACATAGAATATTTAAGGACTAGCTTGTCATATTGCAACGTCAACCAACAATTTTGGATTGAAAATTCTGATAGGGGGAATTGGTTGTGGATGTCGCTAGATAATTTCATTTCCATGTTATTAGGGAACAATATATTTAGTTGGTGTATGTTCATTTCATGTCATAATAACCTGCTAAACTAATTGCCTTTTAAACTTGCTCTACACTCCTATCCAAAAGAAGGAAAAGATCCTAATATATTCTCTAATTGGGATATTATATTTTCACTTAGTGATTCCTTAATGTTTTCAGGGGGCCCCAATCCTCCTCCATTAACAACGTCATGAATTTAAGAGTAACAAATTTAAATATCAATTAATGAATCCCTAACTAGTTGGCATCAATGATATGAATCCTCTTTGTTCGTTCAACTCTATTCCGGCTAATTTTTTAATTTCATTTTAAAGATAAGTTAGAGGTTTTCTTACAACAACATACCCAGTGAAATCCCACTATCTCGTGGAAGTGAGACAGTAACAATTAAACCTTAATTGCAGCATTTGTATCTTTTGCGTCCATAGGGTTCTGTTTTCAGCAAGGTTGCATGCATTCTGAGAAAGTTTCAAGTCTTTTGAGAAAATTATTCTCAATGTGATTTTTGGTCTGCGTCAACTCCTTTTTGAGGAGTAGAAGTGTCAAGGAAGGCTTCTTAATAGTTACAAATTGAGGTGTTATATTATAAGGACTGTATTTTGTAATTTCATTTTTATTTGGGTAGGATCATGCTACTATTTTGCTATAGGCAGTTGAAAGAATTTTATTTCTCCACAGGATGACATACGCAGGGAAGCTCAAACTATGAGTTTGATAGACCATCCTAATGTAATAAAGTCATTCTGTTCATTTGTTGTTGAGAACTACCTCTGGGTGGTGATGCCCTTCATGGCTGAGGGCTCTTGTCTACATCTCATGAAAATAGCATATCCAGATGGATTCGAAGAATCTGCTATATGTTCTATGTTGAAGGAAACTCTCAAGGCGTTGGAATATCTCCATCGACATGGGCACATACATCGAGATGTTAAGGTTTGTTAAAACTGATGTTCCCTTGTTTCTGACCCTCAAATTCTGATATTTGTGGTTTCTCTACCACTTTTCTCATCCCAGGCTGGGAATATATTACTGGACACTAATGGGGCAGTAAAGCTGGGCGATTTTGGTGTTTCAGCATGCATGTTTGACAATGGTGATAGACAGCGGTCTAGGAATACCTTTGTAGGAACTCCGTGCTGGTGAGCATATAGGCATCCTTTCAGTCACTTTCTATCAATAATTGTTTCTATGCAAGTTTTTTCGTGCTCTACATGTCCATCAAGTCATCAACTACTTTTATTTTGTAGGATGGCACCAGAAGTTCTGCAGCCTGGAACTGGATATGATTTTAAGTGAGTTTTCTCTGTCACGGTGTAAGATCTTGATGGTTTCATATGTTATGATGTAAATTTTCATTTAATGGTTGACTGAGAGCTATTTGAGAAAGCTGAAGTCTGAATTCCTTTTGAAATTGTACCATTGAATTACTTTAATGAACTTTTAGTGCTGAAAGGTATTAAGTTTATGCATTTTAATCCCGTCACTGAATTCAAATATGAATTATCCTCTTTAGTATATTTTTGAAACTAAAACTGAGTATATTAATTTATC